GACTTCTGACCCAGGGCCCCTGAGGAGTGGGTGGGAGGACGCAGGTGACCCTCAGGATGGGGCGCGAGCAGCTGGCTGGAAGGGGCTGGCCCGGACGGGGGAGAGGGCCAGGAACGGGCCTGGGGGATCAGGGCTTTGGCGTTGGGTGTGTTGAGCACAGAGACGGGCGTGCTCCTCAGAGGTGTGGAAGCAGCTCTCCAGGGGCTTGGGAGATGGGCGGCGACCACAGGGGCGGTGCGGGTGGGGGAGAGGATGGGGGGCTGGAGGGGGAAATTGGGAGGGGCTGGAGGGGGCTGGAGCGGGGAAGCCACCCTGCTCCGCTGCGTTCCTCCAGGCGGGACAGGTGGGGACGCAGGTCCATCCAGCCGCTGCACCTGAGGCCTACCTCCGTGTGCAAAAGACGGCTTTGGGGTCCCTTTAAGGGTGGCCACCCCGTGCCACAGACAGTGTGGCAGGTTCCTCAACACAGCGGACATGAGGGGTCTCTCAGCCTGGGTCTTGCACTGTGTCTCGCTTAGCCCCCAGGAGATCCCGAGAGGCAGGCCCAGCCCCAGTGTGCGGTGATGTCATTGCTGCTCACGATCTTGGTGTGCTCCAGTGGCCCCAAGTATGCGGCCTCAAAGGGCATCGCTCGCTGGCTGGCAGAGTGTCCCTGTCCTGGAGTCGTTCTGTTTTCATCCGTGACGCTTCTTCTGCTTTTGATCCTTTGGCAGGGGAGCGTCTGATGTTAACACCCCCATTTTTCAGAGGAGGAAGCTGAGTCTCGGAAGGGCAGGGTGGCTTCCCAGAGTGACACAGTCTTTGTGCAGAGCCCTGACCTCGCCCCTGCCGGCGGGGGGGTGGGTGGTGTGGGCGGTGGCAGCATCATGGGGGTCTTTGTAATTAGTGACCCTGGACAAAGCAGTGCTTCCGAAGGAAGAACAGGTGTGTGTGCCACAGAAACCCTCTGCTCTGACACACTTGAGAGGGACAATGGCCACTTATGTCAGCCTAAAGCAGAGAATTATCAAAATAAAACATTGATAGCCTAATTTTATTTTTCATAAGAAACAGTCAAATGTACATTAGTTTACTGATAACCTTTCTTTAAGAATGAGCCACACGGATGGGTATCCAGTGTCATTTATTTTTTAAAATTTTCTTTCTTTTTTGAGTTGAGGATCCACTCTGCTGCCCAGATGGGAGTGCAGTAGCGTGATCTTACTGCAGCCTCAATTTCCTGGGCTCAGGAGATCCCCCCGCCTCAGCCTCCTGAGTATGTGGGACTGCAGGTGCACACCACCTAGCTAATTTATTGATTTTTTTTTTTTTTGTAGAGACAAGATCTCATTATGTTGTACAGGCTGTCTCAAACTCCTGGGCTCTAGTAATACTCCCACGTTGGTCTCCCAAAGTGCTAGGATTACAGGTGTGAACCACCATGCCCGGCTATATTCTTTTTTAAGAAATGTAATCCAGCTTGATCTAGTCTTTACAAAGCGTTCAATTTATCTTTCACAGAAACAAGGAGTCTTTCTTTCTGCACTTATAGTTGATCAGTGTATTTAATATTTAATAAAATTGTGTAATTGCAGTAGTAAGTACAACAGACACAGGCAGGTTTCAGAACAAATTACGCCCTACTTTTGCAAAGTGTGTGGTCCCCCAGGAGAGAGGGGCTCCCCCTGCCCGCCCACGCCAGTCCTCAGAGCGTCCTGGCCCCTGGTGTGCACCAAGAGTCTTGGCAGAGAAAGTGCAGAGTACCAGTTGACCTGGTGCATAGGGTGAGTGAGAGCCACGGAGAAAGCCTTCACTGCTCAAAATATGTATGCAGGACAAACTGGTGTGCACTAGGCACTGGGAGTGATTGAAACACTTATGTGGGAATGATTTTGTTTTCGGATTTTTTTCCTTCTGGCTCAATCTTTTCCAAAGGCTGGTTCTAATTTGAACTGGTTCAGTAGGATTGTAAAAACAACTTTGATTTTGTTTTCAGTGCAGTAAAAAAAAAAAAATTAATGCCTGGGCTGGGTTCAGAATTCAGACAATTAATGTAGTCCATGTGGCTGCGAGCATCCGGCTGGCCCGGTCTGCACTGCTCACCGTGAGGGATGAGTCCAAGCCAGCGTGAGATGCTTCTGGCTCAGAGTCTGAAAATGCCGTGGGTCTCTTTTGTGCTGAGTCTTGTCTGTTCTAAGCAACCTGAAGCGACATTCACTAGGGACCAAGAGTTATGACCAGGAAGAGACAGACACAAAGCCCCCGTGTCTTGATGCCGACACCGAGTAGGCCACGTGTAGATGCTCACTCAGAGCTCACAGAGTTGTGGGCCACTCATAGTTTGCTTTGCGCAAACTCCCTGGGCCTGGCCCACCCACTTCCTTCGTGTCCACAGTTCAGACTCATATTTCTCCGATCTTCTCTCTTTTCTCTGCCCTTGCCTGGTGTTGGTATTGTCTGCACACATTTTGAACTTGGGCAGAAGCATGCGTGGACCATGACCCAGCTTGGCGAGGAGCATGGGCGTCAGAGGCAGAGGGGCCGGGGGCTGAATTCTGACCTGGGGGCTTCCCGCGGGCGCCTGGAACAGACAGCTTGCTTTTCCGTCCTGGCCTCTGTTCCTCCACCTATGAAATACCTTCTTGCTCTTCCCTGTGGCCCTGTGGCCGTCAACTCTATCAAATGACGCCTGTTTGTAATAGGTCTCGTTTCAGTTCATTGGTTTGTTTCTGTCCTTACCGTGAGCTCAGATCCCAAGAACAGGTTGTTTTGTTCCTGGATATAAAAGCAAAGACCAGCGTTGGCAACAAATACATAAACACGAGTGTGTTCTGTCATCACTGACCCAGGCCCTAGAAGATAATTTTTTATGTGTTCAAGCTTGTGATGATGACAGTGGTTGTCAGGCAGATAAGCTGGAACGTTGAAGACGTCAGTGTGAGGAGAACTTCACGAGCTGGCCACCGTTCCACAGCCACTGAGAAGACACGTCGTGATGTCTGTCCCAGGACTGTTCGATGTGGATCACACCCCAGCATGACTTTCCCAGGCCCAGATGTGATCGTGTTCCTCACTCAAGGGACTGCAGCTGCCCAAGGGCCATGCCCACACGTGGTAGACAGACCCCTTGTAATGTGGGCCCCTGCGTGGCAGATGGGCCTGTCATGACATGGTCCCAACCTGTCTCCAGCAGCCTTGCCCCAGCCCCTGTGCTCTGCTTCCTCTGACACATCTAGGCCAGGAGAAGGGGTCTCACCTCTCCCTGAGCACGCCCTGCCCTCATGTTCGATCCTGTGCCGGTGCCCTTTCCCCTTGATGTCTCTGAAGCACTCCTACACATTCTTAAAAGCCCCACAAAGATGCGGTCTTCCACGCAGGGCTGTGCTCCCCCCTCGCTCAGGGGCAGAGCCCTTCCCTGCTCTTTGGTGCACTCATAGTATCTTGCCGAGTAATGGATACGCGACTGGCCTGGGGTGAACTGCCCAGAGAGTAGTCTGGGCCCTACTTATCTTTGTGTCCCCAGAGCCTGGTGTGGGGACTGGTAACTGGTAGGGGGTTAAGCAGACGGACAAATCCATTTCCACGTATGTCGAGAGACTTTTCCAGCCTTGGATTCCAATTCCACCTGTAGAGGAATTCAGACCAGTGAGGTAATGCAGTAGCTTTCTCAACAGGCACACGGGAGCGGTATCGATCTCACAGAGCTGTGCGGAGGACTGAGCAGGACATTGTGCTACTTGGTGGCATCGGCACACACGGTCGCCGGCGGAGGAGGACGACAGCCACTGCACCGAGGTGTCCAGGTTCCTTGACAGAGCCCCTAAGTCTGCAGCACGTGGCTGTGAGACCCACAGCTTGGAACAGAGCTTCTGTTGGGGTGGAGGCGATCTACCCCGGAGGCAGACGCCTGGCCTCGACCCTACAGCACTGCGCTCAGCTTCATCGGATTTGAAGACCGGATGGAAGACTCGAGGGGTTGAGTGTCTCGGGAAGTCCGAGAACCCCAGGACACCAGGTAGCAGATTAGTGAGTGTGACGCCCGGTTACATTTCACGTAAGCAGGTGAATTGCTTCCTGACTACTGGCCATGCTTACTGGTGTGGGCGATGATTATTTATGATGATGCTTTTCGATTTTATTTCAGAGTTGTGGGGCACATGTGAGGATTGACTCTGTAGGTAAAATGCGTGCAGCTGAGGCTTGGGCTTCCCGTGGGCCCTCTCTCCCCCAGAGTGGGCCTGGTGCCCTGGGGGTGGCTGTGTGCCCCGTCCCCCCTCCCTTCCCTCCTGGGCAGTGCCCAGTGTCGGCTGCTCCCACCTTGTGTTCACGTGGCCAGTGATCAGGGCCCGCTCATGAGTGAGAACACGCGAGATTCAGTCCTTTGTTCCTGTGGTAGTGCATCCAGAATGATGGCTTCCAGCGGCACCCATGTTGCTGCCAAGGACAGGATTTTGTTCTTTTTTACGGCTGTGTAATACTCCATCGTGTGTATGTATCATGTTTTCTTTATCCAGTCCCTGGTGATTGTGAATAAATGTGACTGCCCATATGTCTGAATTTCACGAATTGTTTATTTTTAGATCAAGAGCCCAAACGAATGAAGCCCATCTTTGGAGAAGCAGCAGATGAGGGCACGATCCACAACTTTAATGAACATCGAGGCTTTGACATTGAACACAGGGGGAAAATTAACAACTTGTTTAATTTTGCCTTGCCTGCCCGGTAACCCTTTCATCTTTACCCGGAACGTACACATCCCGTGCGATGTACATCCTTTTAAACGTGCCTTCACAAACGCATCACATTCTCACTGCCTGCTGATTTCATTTGACTTAGAAAGCGAGTTGTGACCACGCGGAAGGGAAGCTGAGAGGCGTCTTGGCGTCGCTGCCTCAACGGACGCGCGTGGCCTGGCTGCCTGGCTGAAGCTGCCAAGAAAACAAATCAGGACTCGAGAGTGTGTCGTGCCGGAGTCCCTTGCAAGTCTGATTCGGAACGCGCTCCGGCTGCCGTGGCCTGGCTCAGTGCAAGAGGGCCACGAGCAGCTTCTGGAAGTCCCCAGAGGTGTCTGAGCGAACCATGTCAGAGAGAGACTTCTGGTACTTTTCTTGGAACTTGGCTTTGATCCCCTGCAGATCCACCTGTGGGAAGACAATGACAGTGGTGGATGACCAGGTTGAGGGTGTGCTCTCCGTGGGTGACTGGCACCGCTCTGGGCACACTGCTCTGGGCACGCCATGGACACTACTCTGGGCATACTGTGGGTGCCACTCTGGGCATGCCACGGGCACCACTCTGGGCACACCATGCTCATTTATACCTTAAAATAGCCCTTGGAGGTTGTGAACGAGGAGTGAGCTCCCTGGGGGGGTGCAGAGGTGTGTGCCTGTGTGTGTCTGCTTTATCCATGGAATTGAAAGCTTGAATTTCACATGGTTTTTATGTGTTACATAGTGTTTTTCCTTTGAGTTTTTTATAGCTGTTTGAAAATGAATCATCCTCAGGTAGCAGGCCTGTTCAAAAGCAGGCAGCGGGCCGCACTTGGCCTGAAGGCCTGGTAGAAAGTTAGGAAAACGGTCAGCACAGAGATTTGAAATCAAGCACGTTTCCCTCCTACCTTGGTCAACAAGGACATCAATACCAGTCAGCCACGCTCAAATCAACATTCCTTTGTGGGACTTATTTTGAATCTGCTTCCTTGAAAGTTTGAAGACCCTGGTGCTGGAGGTGGGGGTAGGACTCAGGAGACAGCCGATAAAAAGAGCACTCTTCCAGAAGGTTCTTCCAGTCTCGTTGAGGGAGCAGATGCTCACCCCAGAAAAGATCTAATTCTCGAGAGACTGCAATGGGCCTTGAGAAGGAAGCGCAGGCCCTCTGTGGCCAGCTGTCTTTCTTTTCTCTTCTTTTGGTTTGGACCTGCCATGCACCCCAGGCCTAGATAGTGTGGCTCCAGTGTCCGGCTCTCTCTTCTCCTATACAGCCCAAGGGCTGGACTGAGGCGGGGAGAGAGAAGACGATGCCGGAGATGGGCGTGAGCAGGGATGAAGGAACACTGAGCCCGAGGAGAGACCCTGGGGGGCAGCATGTCTGTCCCTCTCAGCCCTGGCCTGTGTGTCCCCTGCCGGGCTCGTTGTCTAAGGCTGGGAGGGGCAGGAAGGTGAGATGAGGGCAGGGCGGGGACACTGAGCACTGCTCTAGCGTCACGTAGCTTTAGGGTACGGGAAATCCAGCCAAGCTTCTCTCTCTCGCTGGGCCTGAAGCCTTCAGGGGAAGCTGTGTGCATGCTGCGAGGACCCAGGACATGTGGTGAGTCCTAAGATGGGACAGGACAGTTGGGTTAAAACACTCCCCGCTCCACTGCTCTGGGCATGTCACAGGCATCGTTATGGGTACCCTGTGGGCCCCACTCTGGGCACAGAGTGAGCATGGGGAAGGAGGCCCTCCGGAGGGATGCCCTCTCTCAGGGCTCTTTCGGATCCTGGGTCTGCTCTGCTGCACCCCTGCCCCTGTGAGTCCCTCGGGACCTCCCGGTGACTGTGACTGGCGCTGAGGGGCGAAGGGGCGGAGACACAGCAGAAAGACGCCTGGAGAGGTGCGGAGAGAGCCTCGCGCCTAGGAGGAGAGAGCCAGAGAGACTGGAGGGAGTGGCCAGAGACGGCGGAGGGGAGGGGGGAGGAGGGACGGGCATGAGACGGAGAAGACAGCGTGGAGGAGGCAGAGGAGAAATTCCAGGAGCAGGAACAAAAACGAAAGGACTGTCTTGCGGTGAAGTTATATTTAGAAGCAGGGTCAGATGTCCAGTGTCGCTTGTCAGGAAGCCACGGACCAGAATTCGGGCTGATACCTCCCCTGGCCCCCTTCGCTTGACATTCTTCTTGGAGGGCGATGTCTGTGGTCTTCGGGGCTCAGCGCCCCTTCCTCCCCAAGGTCCTCCCCTGCAGACGGGTGCCACGTCCCCCGTGTTTCCCCCTTTGGACGTGGCCCCGTGTCACGGTCTGGAATCCTGACAGCCACCCCCAGCTTCCGGCTCCCCCACCCCCCGTGTCCACAGCATCCTCCCAGAAACAGCAAGGCTGATCCTTCGGGGGAAAACCCCTTCGTCTTCTCACGTGTGTTTCTAGGCGCAGAGCACCGATATCCACACGCACATGCACAGATCCATGGCATCATCTGTGCGGCGAGCCTTTCTCGTGGGGAGTGGGCGGCCCTTAGGAAGTCAACGTGTCTAAAGACAGATGGTGACAAAAAGAGGCCCAGGAGCATGGTCTCAGGCGGACAGGCCGCCCGTGCGCAGCCGTGCCTCTGTGCTACAGTCAGTCAGGTCGAGGCCTGGCCCAGGAAGCCCTTGTTTCTTATCTCTGCTGCCAGGTGACCTCCCTCAAGCGACTCTGCCGTTTCCCTCCAAGCGTGGCCTTGGATGGTGGCAGCGCCTCCAGGGGGTGCCTCTGCTCGGCTCCCCAAGCTCTCTGGAGCCCGGAGGACAAAAAGGGAGGCAACGACCACTGTAGCTGTCTAAAAAGAAAGCGTGTGCCGCGGAGCACAGTGGCTCCTCTGCGTTCCGGGACAGCAGGCCGTCTCTGACGTCTGTCAAGAGGCCTTTGATGGAAACGTCAGGGGTGGAGCATGGGAGAGGCCGCGGCCGCCCGGATCTGGTCTTACCTCGGCCCTGGTCACGATGATGCGAATCAGCGTCTCCTCGTCCGTCCCTGCTCCCTCCATCGACCTGTACAGGCGCTCCGCAAAGTAGCCCTCGCGGTCACGGGCACACCTCACTGGGCGGGGCGAGGGGACAGAGTGAGGCCCTCGCCCGGCTGAGTGACGGGGAGCCCTTCCCGGGGTCACCGGGCCGCCCTCGGGGCTGACTGCGGCGGGCGGAGGCCTGCGTGGAGCCGACTTCACACACCGTGGGCTGGGATCTGGAAGGTTCCCTGGCCAGGGCTAGGGTCCCAAGCAGAGCCAGGCCAGAAACGGCCCAAGAGCAAGACCCCGTCCTGCTCCTGGGGCGCCCCCTCGAGAGAACAGCCGTGGAGCCCTGGGGCTCAGCCCAGAAAGGGCCTCCTCGTCTGAGCGAGCTCTGGGACTGTGGAGCCTGAGGGGAGCTTGCCAGCATCCCTGGCGACAAAGCTCCTTACCTTGGCAGCTCGCTGGGACGGGGCCTGCCTGCCTGTGCTAAGCGGCCATCCTGCCCCCGTCGCCCCTGACGGGTTTGTTTTGCCAGCTCCTTCTCTGAGTCGGTCCAGGTGTCCCACGACCCTCCCGGTTTGCAATCTGGGATTGGGCTTGAGGCGGGGTTGGAGTCTGTCTCCAGTTCACCTTCCCGTGATGCCGTGGGCCTCTCTGTTCTGACCCTCCCTTCCCGCCGTTCTGATCTACCCACAGCTGCGACGTGGCTTCTCTCCACGAGGGGAACAGGTGCACCTCTGTGCCTGGGAAGAAACCCTGACTCCACTCTCCTTCCCCTGGGCCACGTGGCTCCACCACGACGAATGCTTCGAGGAGCAGCCACTTGCTCCTCAGGTGGTTAGCACTTCTCTACCTCAGGGGGTCCCCTCCACCCCCAGGTTGTGGTCCCGTGCTGATCCGTGGTTTGCTGGGGACTGGGCTGCACAGCAGGGGTGAGTGGTGGGCGAGTGAGCGAAGCTTCAAGCTCCCTCTGCATCTACAGCCACTCCCGGCCACTGGCACTGCCCCTGGGCTCCACCTTCTGTCAGATCAGCTGGGGCATTAGATGCTCATAGGAGCATGAACCCTGTTGTGAAATGCACATGCGTGGGATCCAAGTTGTGACTCTTTATGAGGATCCAATACTTGATGGTCTGAGGTGGAGCTGAGGTTGCAAATACAGAGGAACACAAGCAGTGAGGTTTGCACAGAGGCCACAGTAAGTCAAGGGCTTGTAGACTCCTCTCAAAACCCCATCGGTGAGTGGCTGGTGAGCTGATGGACTTCGGTTGTGCAGTTGCATCTGGGAGAGACCTTAGGTCAGAATCCCACATTTATTTAAGTCCACGTGTGACTGGTCCATGATCTTATTTATCACTTCTCTGTGCACCTTTCTGAAATGGTGAGTGGTATAATTATTTTGTTATATATTGCAATGTAACCATAACCAAGTGCACAATACACATTATGTGCTTGAATCATTCTGAACTCATTTCCTGCCCCCAACCTGGGTCTGCGGAAAAATCGTCTTCCATGAAACCAGTCCCTGATGCCGACAACATTGGGGGCTGCTGCCCTAGACGCTTCAAGCCTTTCGATGTCAGTGATTCATAAGAGGGAATGATTTCAGGACGGTATGGATGTGCCACCTCCGTGGGTCCTGTGACGGGCTCTTGTTTCCTGGCGACTGAGAGGGGAGCCTGGTAAGGGGGCAGGGTCTAGTTGGGAGGTCGGTCCCCTCTAGCGGGAGACGTGGCAGCCGCCCAAGTTTCCGTGGAGGAGAAAGGTCCTGATGCAGATGTCTGGCCTCCTCCTGAGAACAACCCCAAAGCTGCTAGACTGGTGGAATATGTGTGTGTTGGGGGGGTTTGCCTCTACTCTGGGTCCCAGCACGTCTGAGGCTCTCTGGGTCCCAGACACGTCAAGTCAGTGACCTCCACAGGCTCCCTGGAGGTCCTCCCGCCCCAGCACCACCAGCATCTGCCTAAGGTCGCGTGTCCCACACCTGCCCAGGGCTCTCCTTCCTCGACGCTCCTTTCGGATATTTTGGGAAGAAACCTCTCGACGTTCTGCCGTCCACCGCCTGTGCCTGGGGAACAGGCTGTGCCATCAGCCCCGGCAGGAATCCCCTAGAAGGCTGGGGGCGGGGGGGCTGGAGAGGACGTGGGGCGAGACTGCTCGTGGCAGGGGGAGGAGGGGCCTCCGGCTGCCGGCTCGGCGTCCCGCGCCTCTTGGCCTTCAGAGCAGGTTCTCCTCAGTCAGCGCAAGACTGTCACCTGGTTGGCTTGTGTGTGCGGGTCCCTGGGCTCCCCTCCCGGAGATTCTCGATGCGGAGCCTAGAGTCAGCCCGGGAACCTTCATCGTGGTGGGGATTCTGGCGCAGAGGTCCGCGGAACTCACCGGGGGAGCGCTGGGCCAGGGGCTGCAGCGGGGCGTCGGCCTCGGCCCTGCTCCTGGGGCTCAGCCGTCCTCAGTGTCTTCCTGGCCTCAGCCCTGCTTCCAGAGGTCGGCCATCCAAAGCGTTGCCATGAGTCATCGGCCTCAGCTCTGCTCCCAGGGGCCGGTCGTCCACGGTGGTGTCATCGGCCTCAGCCCTACTCGCCGGGGTCAGCCGTCCGCGGTGTTGTCCTGAGTTAGGTGGAGTGGGTTGGGCAGAGTCCAGAGGACAGTCGTGAAGTTATGCTCTCATTTGTGAGGTTTGCACTCAGATCTGTCCCAATCATCAGGGCTTTGCCACCCCTGGAGCACATCTGACTCCTGTGCTCACGGCCCCCAGGGGCTCGGCCATTCTTTCCTCCCTGCTTGCTCTTTCTTTTTTTTTTCTTTTTGAGTTGGAGTCTCACTCTGTCACCCAGACTGGAGTGCAGTGGCCGCTCCTGGCCACTGCAGCCTCAGCCTGCTGGGCTCCGGCGATCCTCCTGCCTCAGCCTTCCAAGTAGCTGGAACTACAGGTGCGCGCTACCACGCCCAGCTCACTTTTGATTTACTGTAGAGATGAGGTCTCGCCAGGTTGCCCAGGCAGGTCTCGAACCCACGGGCTCAGGCAATCCACTCACCTCAGCCTCCCAAAGGCGCGGGATGACAGGCTGAGCCACCGAGCCCGGCTTGCTCTGTCTTTCATCATCTTCGACTTACTCTGTAGACTTGTGCATATTCCCCTGAATTTGAAGCTTCCCAAGAGCAAGCACTGGGCCTTGCTTGCCCCTGGCCTCCACACGGAGCCCCGCCTTGGGCCCTGGCAGACATGAGCGAAGGTATGGGGACCGTCTCCTGGCTGCATGTCAGCGATTTTCTGACTCCGGCAGCAAGTGCAGTGCAGCCAGGGTCTGGGCCCAGAGCCAGGCATGGAGAGACCCCCCAACTGCCTAGGATCCCATCCTGGACGCTCTCAGCACAGTCAGCTGCATCAGGGCCTATGAGTGTCTGGTGTGGGTCGTGAGTGGCTTCAGGACCTGCGAGCTCCTGTACCTCACCATCCAGGGCCTACTCATTTGCAAGCAAAATGAGGATGGCGTGGAAAAATCAACGGCCCCAAGAAACCAAGCGAGAGGGCTTGGCGACTGGCGCTCACCCTTCAGCTTCCGTGGCTGCCCTCGGCTCCTCCTCCTCTGGGGTGGTGCCATTTGGGATAGGGCCCTGGCTCCACACTCGGGAGGGTGACAATGGACAATGCCTTCAGCCCCGGCTGGCAGAGACAGAGGAGCCGCCGGGCAGCCCTGTGCCTCTCTGCTATTTCCTGCTGTTGGACAACCCTGGGCTGAGAGGGGAGGTCCTGGCCTGCTTGACACGGTGGGATCTGAGCTCCCCTCCTTTCTAAACAGACCTTTTCTCTGCAAATGTGGAAGGGAACCAAACGGAGAGGGAAGCTTGTGGGCATTGGGTTCCTGAAGCCAGACGATGGCCCCAGGCCTTGAGATGCCATCAGGGACCCTCGAGCTCAGGCGACCTCGTGGACACCATGGTGTGCTACCCCCAGGATCAGGCCCCCCTCAAGGCATGTGAGCTCCTGGTAACGGCAGAGGCCCCCACAGCTCTCCCTCTGGGTGGGACGGCAGGCTTTCCTGAAGCTGCAAATGCTTGTGGGCGGCCAGTGTCCAGGGACTGGCTGATGTGGGGACAGGGGCCCAGCCCCTGGCTCTGTGGTGGGGGTTCCAGCTCCCGAGTGACCCGCAGAGAGCAAGCCCTGTGGCAACTGAACCCTCATCCCGGGCAGTCCCCAAGTCACTTCCCAGGTCTCCCTGCCCGTGTCGGCTTCCGAGGAGCCCGGCCCCAGACACGCCTGTTTTACTTACCGAGCGTCAAGTAGGCCTTCTGCAGGTCTCCCGACGTCTCTTCCTCAACGGCTTCCTCCATGTCCTTGCCGATGAGCTGGAGAGAAACCAAAGCCCAGTGTGATCCGGGCTTGCTTTGGCTGCAGCACTCTCGGGGTTGCTGCTCCCAAAAGCACTAGGTCCTTCCAGACAGTGCCGCGGCTTCAAGGAGCTCCCTCCTGACCCTTGCCCTGCGGGCTTGGGCGGTTGCCACCCGTTTGAGGGGGTTCTAATGCCCAGGGGTTAGTCCAGCGTTGACCTCTAACGGACTTGACCCCTGTCAATGCTGCTCGCTCAGCCTGTTTCCTCCTCTGTGGAGTCAGGGCATGGAGGAGCAATCACTGGGCCTTGATGAAAATTTCTTATGTGCTGTGTTCTTTGTCCTTCCGAGTTTGCCTTCCTGGGTGGCTGTGGGTATAGCAGCCTGCCCGTGTCTCCCCCATCTCTCTTGTCTCGGGATGGGGGAGCTCAGTGAAACAAGGAGGGATTTGGTCCAGAGCTCCGACGGGGGTCTGCAGGGGCTGGCTGCCTCACGAGGCCTTCCCTGCTCTTGGGGTGACCCAACATGGCCCAGTGTTCTCTCCCGACTTGCCGTTCGCTCTGTACAGCGTCACACATGAGGTTTCTTCCCAAATATTTACAGAAGCTGAAGTTCAGAGTAAATTGCGATGCTCCTTAACACAAATACCGCCCGGGCCAAGCTCAGGCCGGCAAGTAAAGAAAGAGGAGAGCTCTTTGCTGGGTCTGGGGACAGGCAGGTAAGCACGCGAAACACCAAAACCTCTTTCTTAGAAATTGTCCTTTGAGAGTCTGACACCACTGAGTCTATAAATAACTGGGACCCGGAGTGCAGGCCAGGGGACTTGATGCAGTTTCTTCTGAAAACAAAGGTAAGCCAAATATCGTGACACCGTGTGGGTGGAGAAGGGGCCGGCCTCCCTCCCGAAGCCTGTTGCTTGGTCTCCGGGCCATCACTTGCGTGTCAGAGGCCCTGGTGTGGGGCGATGCAGACCAGACCAGAAGGGGGGAACTGCCCCCGCCGGCAGCCCGGTCTTGCTGGTGTGGGGGAAGCTGGCGTTTGGAAGGGACTGGCGTCACCTTCCCCAAAGCAGGGCACTGGCTCTGTAGACCGAGACTGCACTTCCAGAGGACATTTTGTCACATGGGTCTCGTTTACGAGAAGAATCCCGGCATTAGGTCGTTTTCTGTTTCTACTGCTAGTACCAGGCTAGAGCCGGGATTTTTCAATCTTCTGTAGATTCTCGGCCCAGGGGGAAAGCAGAGTTGTGCTGGGGAGGGGCTCCCCGCCCTGGCCCAGGCATTGGCCCCCGCTCCTGTCCTCCCGGGTCTTCCGGCAAGACTCCAGGAGGCGCTATAGTGCCCCTTTCCCCTTGAAGGGAAGACCCCTGGCAATCACTCACCTCGTCCCCACCTCCCCCGCCTGTACCCAGCCGCTAGGGAGACCCCTCAGAGCAACGCAACCTGAACACCACTGGCCGGCCCAAGCCACAGGGACCCGCTGGTGTAAGTTTTTCTCTCCAGTATCCAGGACACTTAGCTCTTAGGGGTCTTTGGACAGAACTGGGTCTTCTGATCTCAGCTCAAAACATGTTTGGAGGTAGAGTCCAGGCAAGTCTCCAAGACCCTCGTTAAACAGGTGGCGATGCTTCTAGGGGGGTTAGTGGAGGAACGGGAGACCTTTATTTCTCTTAAGGTCTGCTCCCCCCACGGACCGCATGTGGTGCAGAGCCCTGTGCTGGCTTGACTAGGGCAGGTGAAGAGAGGGGAGGGGTAGGGATGGCCCGTGGGGCGGGGGGCGGGGCGCTGGACTGGGCTGAGCCCAGCGTGGGGGGGCACTTTGGCTGCACACCTGAGCATTTCGCATGTGGTACGATTTGGAAGTGTGACAGCCTCGCACAAGGCTTGGCTGTGTGGCCGGGGACCTGGGAGTCAGAATTCAAGACTCGGGCTGAGGGGGCAAATAACGGGCCTCACCCTGAGATTTTGGGCCAACAATGAAAATTCAACTCGAAGCCAGGATGACCCGTGCAGCGCAACACAGCCCAGCGACCTCGCCCCAGCGTCTCTGTGCTCTTGGTCGGAGACGGGCAGGAAGCGTGCAGAGCCCAGGTCCTAACAGACTAGAACACCAACAGGGAGGGTGGTGAGAGTGGCACCGGGCAGGGCCCTGGGGATGCGTGAAGAGGGTATTCGGAGCTGGCGCCATGGTAAGACTCGTCAGCCCCGTGGACGACCCGATGGCACATCTGAGCAGTGGACATTGGTCTGCTCTGATTCCAGGCACCACTGGTTTGCACGGGAGACTCCTGACAATTGCTAATGTTTATTGAGTGCCGACTGCATGCCAAGTGCTGTCTAAGCGCATATGTCTATCAATTCATTAAACCCTCACTAACCCTGTGACGTAGGTACTGTTATCCTTGTTTTGCAGTTGGGGAAACTGAGGCACAGGACCCTAAGCACCTTGCCCAAGATCATGCAGCTGGTAGCCTAGAGCTGACTTCTTAAACTATAACATGCTTCTGAATCACACAGAAGACTGGGCGTGGTAGCGCATGCCTGTAATTCTGGCTACTCGGAAGGCTGAGGCGGAAGGATCGCCGGAGCCCAGCAGGCGAGGCTGCGGTGGCCGGGAGCGGCCACTGCACTCCAGTCTGGGCGACCGAGTGAGACTCCAACTCAAAACAAAACAAAACAAAAAAACAAAAAGCACAGATGGTAAGACCCCAATCCCAGGGGGTCTGACTCAGTAGGTGGGGTGGCGACCGAGATCTTCATCTTAACGGATTCTCAAGGGGCACTGACGCTGCCATTTCAGGGACTGACTTTCAGATACTGGCCAGGAGCGTCCTTGCAGGAAGTCAGTAGTTCATACACACACACACACACACACACACACACACACACACTCGCCTGTACCAGAAACTCCATCTGTGGCCCCATCACATGGGAAGAGGCTCTTGGTCATGAGGAAGCCCTGCAGCTCAGAGGCCACACCGCCACAGGCCCAGAGGCCAGGGGAGTGCAGGGCCGGCTGCCTTTGATCAGGACTCCGGGCACTGTTTGAAAGCAGTGGGGCCTAAAGGCTTATACACGGTCATGATAACATCCAAAGTGTTATTGTCTTTTTATCTGCTGGCAACACACGGGAAACACCGCTTCGAGTGAGGCGCGGCCAGCTCGGCTGGGCTGGGCGCTCGGGCCGGAGGCTTGGTGTTCTCATCCACTTCGCTACCGACTTGCTGGGTGGTCCTGATCGGCGGCAGATGGCGCCTCACTCACCGTCCTTCCCAGTCCAGCCCTCAAGGGTCACAGCAGCCGTTCTGCTACGTGACAGTGACGGCGCCGTGGTGGAGCAGAACTGAGAGGCGGGACGGGGAAGGACTTTGAAGAGGACACTGTGCACGTGAGGCAGGAGGCCAGAAGAGATCTGGTCCTCCACGCCTCGCAGTGGGTGGGCTTATCGCTAAGTGCCTCGAAATCGCTCACCTTGGTGGCCTGAAGTTGTCATGGGATTAAACATAATGTCCGCACATCTCAAAGCTGAGCATAGAGGTTCACGCCTGCCATCCCAGCACTTTGGGAAGCAGAGGCGAGAGGATTGCCTGAGCTCAGGGGTTTGGGACTAGCCTGGGCAGCTTAGGGAGACCTCGTCTCTACAATAAATAAAAAAAATGAGCTGGGCGTGGTGGTGCGTGCCTGTAGTCCAAACTATCTGGAAGGCTGAGGTGGAAGGATTGCCTGAGCCCAGCAGGTCGGGGCTGCGGTGGCTGTAAGTGTGTCACTGCACTCCAGCCTGGGTGACGGAGTGAGACTCCAACTCAAAAAATAAACACGTGCACATCTCTTTGGAGCAAATCCCAGAGGGGCTGCATGCTTGTCTGGAGAGTGGTGGGCACTGTTGGCCAACTGCAAACCCAAGCAGTAATAGCCAACATCTGTCTGCTTACCATGTGCCAGCTGTGGGGCCAAACCTTACTGAACTCTGAAATGGACTCTATGAGAGTGCGGATCACGCTTTGCAGGAGGGGGCAGAGAGCTTTGTCCACTTGCCAGTGCCAGACCTGGGATTCACACCTGGGCCCTTTGACTCGAGAGCTCTGCCCAATACATGAGGCATGCCAGCAGCCCTGGCCTGAGCTGAATTCTCAGGGGGCACTGCGTGAGGTCTGAGGACGCCAGTGGGCCGTCCTGGCACTGTGGGCACTGTCCCAGATGCCGGGAGCTCTGCTTCCCCGGCACCCCCTGCTGGGACCGTCCCAAATGCTCTGGACAGGATCACGTGTCCCAGGGGCAGGGGACAAATCGCCCCAGTTGAGAACCACTGCTGTAAAGGACCCCCAGTGCCAGGCCCCGGACCTTGGCTTTGAAAGACAACTTGAGACGGTTTCAGGGTGAACACCCTGGCCCGCGAGTCACTACTCACCACCTGATAGGCTTGGAAGGTGGCCCGTAACTGTGTGTAGCTCCTCTTGGCCAGGACTTCGTTGAAGGCAAGCTCGTCGGTGCCCCAGCGGCCTTCCCCTGCCTGGAGGGTCAGATGCAAAGACTCTGAAAAGGGCTTTTGCCAGAAGCCGGACTGCCCGGTGCTGGGACCAGGCCCCACATACAGGAGATCACAAAATACACGTGACAGAGGTTGGGTGGGTGGACTGAGCGCTACCCTTGACCCTTATTTATATTATCCACGCCCTCCTTTGTTCCAAGATGGATCGGGGTGGTTAAGCTGGGTTCCTAATCAGAATGGCCACTCAGGTCATGAGGGCTGTGTGTGGTCCCTGAGGGTCTAAGCGCGTCTTCATTTCTTAAGGTCACGGTTCTCAAGTGACACTCCCGTGGGCATGAAACAGAAGCGTGTGTCTAAAACAATGCAAATACGTTAAGGAGCACATGGGAGACCAGGATGCACGCACACTTACGTCGTACAGATCTTTGGCGTCTTGACCGGCTAGGTCTCTGTCCACGTCGTCACCCTCATCACGATTCGCCTAGAAAAGTCAAAGGGGGGCTGTGAACTCGAGTTCCTGCTTGACCCCAGAAGACGCGAAGGGTTGGTCCAGGAGGGCAGCGGCCTCCAGAGGGAGGAACCCCAGAGCGGCCTGCCCTCCGCTGCCACCTGGTGGGCACTGCCGGCGACAGAGGCGCTGCTGGGGCAAGGTCTGCTTTCTCTTTTCTGTGAAAAGTGGAGTCGAAGAGACTCGGAATCAGGAAACCAAGCACCGCATGTCCTCCCCTGTGAGCTGGAGGTCGACGGCCACAAAGAGGGAAAGAGTAGACACCGGGGACCCCACAAAGGGGGAGGGATGAGGGGGCGGGGTTCAGAAGCTAGCCCTGGGGTCCAGCGCTTACTCTGGGGAGTGAGCCACCGAGGCGTAACCCTCCTGCCGCACAGTACGTCCCTGTAGCAGGTGTGCCTGTGCACCCCCGAACCGGAAATCAAACAAAATGGTGGATATCAAGGAAGCAGGGTCGCTTGCAGGCCCGCGGGCCTCTGAGCAGCCTGTGACGTCCCCTAAGCGGGTCCACTGGAAAGCAAGTCGTCTTTGTGCCAACACGTCAGATTTCACCAATCAGGGTCCCAGCGCTAAGAACGCGGACGGTGGGTCGTGGGGGTCTAACCTAGCCCTGAGTGGTAGGCAGAATTCCAGGGTGACTCATCGGCCCAGGTCCTGCATGGTCCCCTTCCCCTGAGTGGGGTGAGACACATGAACGTGACGAGACGGCGCTCCTGCGATTGTGTGGTGGCGGATGGCAGAGGCGACTCAGTCCTCAGCCAGCTGAGTGCATCAGAAGGGAGCTTGTCCTCGGTGGGCCTCCCTCATCAGGCAAGATCCTGAGAGGCCAGCGATGGAAGGAGCCAGAGGGATAAGCACCTGCTGGCCTGGGAGAAGCCTGACGGCCACGCCGGGAATGGCCTGTGGGGCGGGGGCAGGGAGTCGTGGACGCGCTGGGAGCTGATGAGGTCTCCAGTGAACAGTTAGAAGAAAGCAGGGAGGTTGGGACCCAGCCACGAGGCGATGAATTCTGCCACAGCCACGAGCTGGGACAAGGCCCCACGCTTCAGAGAAGCAGGCCACCAGGCTGGCCCTCGACGTCAGACCCTGACCGAAGGATTCTGCAGTACACCCCAGGTCCCTGGCTGTGGGTGGGATGCCAGGTCTGTGCTGTGTGAGCTGCTGAGCTCGTGGCCCTTGTTCTGCAATGAGAACAGTCTCGCACCCCTGCTGTGGTCAGAGTCCACAGTCCTCTGTTCCCTGCTGTCATTCTTTCCACACTGGGAGAAACCAACAGAGGACATACTCAAAGCACGTGAGGTGTCAGGGAGGGTAACACACTGTGTGAGGCCTGGGGGGCTGTCCCTGCAGGGCCAGCTCTGAAAGCCTGATCTGGCCGTGGGAGCTCCGTACACAGTAGACACTGGCATCGCCCCCGGGGGATTGTGGAAGTGAGGGCGGGCGGGGGACCAGGCCCTGGTGGGGACCAGGTGGCCTGGCTCTCATGCCAGGGCTGTGTCTTGCTGGCTATGTGAACTGGGCTATGTGAACTGGACCCACCCTCTCAAGGCCTCGGCTTCCTCACTGGCAAAGTGAGAGGGTGATGCAAACAGAGCTGATGCCTCGGAGCGGGTGAGCCCTCTCTCCCCTCACCTGCAGCAGGGCCGTCAGGATCTTCCTGAGGTTTCCACTGGTGTCATCTTTGACGTCTGACTCAAGGCTCCTGTCAAACACTTTGGAGGAAGAAAAACAGGAGGGAAGAAAGCCCATGGCTGAGTTTCCCGGAGGCCACTGGATGGAAACACACTCTACCCAAAGCCAGACGAAAGGTCACTTACGCCTCTGGTAGGCCTCCTTAATGGCGACGATTTCCTGGAGAAGGCAATAACGAAAGTCAGTGCTTCAGGGAGGGGCTGATCAAGGAGAGACACAGGGACACCACAAGGAAGGCGGGGTCTGCATCTGAACCCTGGGTGCCTTCCTGACCTCCTCCGAAGATGGCCGTCCTGCATGCCAGGGCACAGGCCCGGAGCAAGGCCAGGGGTGGGACGGGACCCTCTCTGTGCAGACATTTCAAACACACAGCATTCTCCTTGGTGAAAAGGGAAAGTGCGGCCGCTGGGGTGCCTCTCCCTGCACCTCCTCGCCCAGCCTCACCCTCGCCCCACCCAGGCGCCAGAGTCAGGGTTCATTGTGTGTCTTCCCAGGGGCTTTCTCTGCGGCGTGCATGTGCACACGCTCCTGAAAATACGCAGGAGTATTTTCTGTGTGTGTCGTGTGTGTAGAGAGCAGGACACCAGACCTGTGGTCCCTTATTTTTTCTGTCAACAGCGATGTCTTGGAGACGTGCTCGCCCACAGACACCCACCCACGAGGCACCAGCCTCTTTAGCCAGCCTCCCTGCTGATGCCCGGGTGGTTTCCAGTCCTTCCCTCCTTCAAACAAGGCTTCACTCAGCGAATGAGCCGCTGCCCACAGGGGTGCACTTTTCTAGGGTGCATCCTGGGAGGAATTGCTTTATCATTCTTTCTTTCTTTCTTTTTGCAGGATTTCTTGAGAGGACAGAAAAGCTCGCACAGCGGGAGGGGACCCGAGGGGGTTCCCCGCTTTATCTTTCAAAGTCTTGTGCCAGGGGCCCTCAGGAGATGCCTCAGTTTACCAATGAACCAGCAGCATAAAAGAGCAGGCTTCTCTCCACCATGTCACTGCAGGCTGGTTAAAATGAAAGCCAGTGGGCAGCCTAGGGAGGAGGCAGTGAGCACAGCAGGAGGCCAGGAGCCCGGCTGCGGTGCTCATGGTTGGCAGGGAAGGGGGAAGGCCATCAGGGGAGGCCGGCCGCTTGCAACTGAACTCCTTCTCCTCATCCAGCCCACCGCCAGGCTGTGCCTGAATCCGCACCTGCCCTCTGCCGGGTCTTCCCTTCACAATCAGCTCTATTTGGTTGGAAGAAAGGCCCAGGCTAGGGGGGAGCTATGGGCAAACAAGGCTGGAGAAATCCTTTCACAAGGAGCCTTTCTGAAAAGGCAGGTGTGGCCGCCCAGGCACTGGCCACTGCCCTGTGGGGACCATGGTGCTTCTGGGAAGGGCTGGTGGGGCTGCTGGGTGACTCGTGGCCCATGGGCGACTCTGGTTCTGCGCCGACCCTGCTCTGAGGCAATGTCCTGACCGGAGACTCCTTCTTGAAATGGAGGGCATTTTGGGGAATGAAATCTTGGGGAAGAAAGAGGCCGAGGGACTGGGAAAGGCACGGCCCTGGAGCTCGGATCCCGGGCACGTGGGATCCAGGCACGTTGGGTCCCAGGCACGCCGGATCTGGGCATGTCAGATCTGGGCACATCGGATCCCGGCATGTTGGACCTGGGCATGTTAGGTCCTGCAGCTCATTGGATCCCGAGGTATGTGGGACCCCGGACACCTCAGATTCTGGGCACCCTGGATCTAGGCACATGGGATTCCAGGCACATTGAATCTCGGGCAGGTAGGATCCAGGGGCACACTGGACCCCAGTGGGCATTGCTACACGATTCGCTTGCTGAACAGACAGGCCGGCGCTGGGGTTTCAGAGCCATTGCCACGTGAGAGCGGGTCTTGGTCGCCTGGCTGTCTGCTCCAGCCCTGCTTCTCTTCCTACTGGGAGGCCCCAGGAGGGTTGGACTTTTCTGCCTTTTCCTTGCAGGACCTCCGCCTCCCACTGCGATGGGCGGTTGTGGAAGAGGGCGGGGTCTCCCGTGAATGGTGGGTGGCCCCTCTTTGCTCTTGGTGAATCCTTGGCCCCTAGGCTTCTCCTGAACAAATATCCTTTTGGACCCTGGAGTGGTGTTTGCAGGAACCCCCAGCATCGCCCACCTCCCTGCCTTATTAATACCTCTCTGGTCTCTGATGCTGGACAGGCCTGGATGGCTTGCTGCATGACTCAGGCCGGAAGGGGGGGGAGCGCAGGACAGAGCAGCCTGCGTAAAAGCTGTGCATCCCTCCAGGAAAACAGAAGCTGCACCCACAAGCTCTTCTGGAGGGTTCTTTTCTGTCAGCTCCAAGACTGACCTCTGGGAGACCGAGGCGACACCCCTCCCACGTGGGCCACATGGACACACTGCTGCCCAGACACCTGCTCCACCCTGGAGAGAAGGCCGGAGGCAGCGTCCTCTCTGGGGCAGCAGCCGTCCCCAGCGGGCCTGAGGGCTGGGCCGGGACTGACCTTGTTGGTCCTCGTGCACAGGACTTCGATGAGCACCGACTCGTCCGTGCCCAGGCCCTTCATGGCCTTCTGCAGCTGCCGGGCTGCGTACTCGCTGGGGCGGTCCAGGAGGGCCACAGCCGCCTTCTCGAAGTGTCCGCTCAGCTCACTCTTGAGCACCTCCTCCAGGTCCTGAGGGGAGATAGGGAGGGGACTGAGCCAGGACAGGGTCCACAAGGCGCCTCCCTGGACACAGGCAGGGCTGGACCCACCGCCACACTCGCTGCCCGTCCATTTCCCCACAGGCGGCCAGAGCAGAGGGAGCAGAGGGGCACTCCCAGGGGGCGCGGGGCTGGGGCCCTTCAGTGGCCTCGCAGTAACAGCGCATTTACAGAACGCGGAGGGCTCAGAGCGCCGCCTTAGCCGGGGCTCACGACAGCCGGCAGCGGAGGTGTGGGCTGGCTCCCACCTGAACCTGGAAGGTGAGGATTTGTCCCCAGACATCCAGCCGGGAAGGACGGAAGTGCAGATCTGTGCTCTCGAGGGGACCAGATAATTTGTCATCCAAACTGGGAGGTTTTGAGAGTGACAGGCGACGCGATGAACAATTAAGGGAGCAACAGGAGCAACTCGGGATTGTCCTGGAAAATCAACCCCCCGTAAAGCTACCTTATTAGATCCTGGAAGGGACACATGCGGGAGAGAACGCAGGCAGGTGGACGGGGCGTGCGTGACATTCTTACTGGCACCGGTTCCAACAGGCGCCACCTTCGTCTTTCTCTGACCAGCCCCTTATCCAGATGGACAAACGGCCCTCTCCTGTCTCCCTCTTACGAGGTGTGTTAGAGGGGCAAGGCCAAGAATGGACATCATCCCAACTAGTGTTGAAAGCCCCCAGCTTGAGGAAGGACCCTCACGCCGAGCGGCAGGCCAGCACGGGTCAGACTGGAGGCCCACAGACCAGCTGGCATTTCAGGGACCCACACTTCAGCACAGGGCGGGCCTGGGCCCTCGGCAGCATGGCGTGGTGGTGAGGAACACGCGACCGTGGATTGAGGCCCCGGGAGAGCTACTTAGTTTTGCCATAGGTCCTTTTCCTTCCCTAAGAACTGGGAGCCGGGCTCGGTGGCTCAGCCTGCAATCCTGTGCTTTGGGAGGCTGAGGTGAGTGGATTGCCTGAGCTCGCGGGTTCGAGACTCGCCTAGGCAAATTGGCCAGATCTCAGCTCTACAATAAATCAAAAAATTAACTGGGTGTGGTAGTGAGCGCCTGTAGTTCCAGCTACTTGTAAGAATGAGGCAGAAGGATCGCTGGAGCCCAGCAGGTCGAGGCTGCGGTGGCCGGGAGTGGCCACTGCACTCCAGTCTGGGCGACGGAGTGAGACTCCAACTCAAAAAAAAAAACCAAAAAACCGGGGAGAATGGTAAGACTTGTCTCACAGACCATTGGGAGAAGTGAATGTGCCATCTGGGTGAGCACCGAGCACAGTGCCTGGTACCCCGCAAATGTTCAACAACTGCTTATTAGTATTATCCTGCATGGAAAGGGATTTTCTGAGAGGAGGCAATCAACTGCTTCACAAACGATCCTGTGACCTCTGGCCCTGGGAGAAAAACCCAGATTTCCATCTGAGGCCCTGGGGTCTGCAGTCTGGCAGGGAGCTGAGATATGCCTCCCCCAACAGAAGCCTCCCCCGATGGCAGCCTTGCCCGACGGCAGCCGCCCCAGCTGGCACCGCGTCTGTGGAGGTAGGCCTCTGGTAGGTAGGTGCTCTACGGCAAGGATCTGTTCAAAAATCGGAGACAGCTTTCCAGACCAGGTGGGCATTAGGTGGAACTGCAGCTGAGAAACCCAGCTGCCGCTGCCCCAAGCCACAGGTGTGAGAACAAATCCCTTGTGCTCACATCCTGCCTGGTGGAGGCAGCTCAGGATGTCCCGGCTCTCCCGCAAACACGCTCTGTTACCGTGCCATGGTGACCCTCTGGGGCTCGGCTGGCATAGGGGCTCCGAGTTGACCACCCCTGACATCCTGAGCGTCACGATGCTGGGATTCCAGGCATCTCTGCGGCAGCCCCAGCCTCTAATCAAGCCGAGAGCCTGAGAACGAAGAGATAACTGGCAGGCAAAGTTGTCAGGGCGGTGCTGGGACCTGCCCGTTCTCCTTTCACGGGAGCCCAGGCCCCACTCGGAGCCCACCGGCTCTTACTGCAGACGGAAGAGGAAGACGCCTGTGTCTGACTTTCCATGTTGGCAGGGGGGATACAGACATACGAAGTGGGAGGCCGCTGGACAGGCGAGTGGACAGGGGTGGGAAGTCAGCTTCACCCCATTCAGCTAAATGCAGTTGAAAGGAAGGCTCTCTTGTTTTTATTTAAACAATGACACCGGCGAGCCTGATGATGAGGAGAGATGCAAAAAAATGGCAAACACAGCCACCTGGGCCATGGAGTGTGGGAGCAAAGAGCTCCATGCAGCCACTCCCCCTGCCACAGGCCCACCCTGGAGTTGGAGCACTCAGCGTGAGTCCTGGGTCTTTTTTTCCCCTAGGTGTGTGACTTTACATAAGTCATTTAGACATATGGTCTGTAAAATGGAAACTGCCATGCCTGCCACAGCTTTCCTTTCTGCATTCGATTCTCCAGAAACCCAAGAGGGGAGAGGAGTCGCCAGCTCTGTTCCGCATGTGAGGACACGGAGGCCTGCAGAGACCATCACCTGCCTAAGGTCAACTACGTAGGAGAACCAATCCCTGTCTCTCTAAAGATGCTTATACATGCAGTGATGGAAATGGTCAAGTTTCTATAAGTACAGATGAGAGTATGGCACAATGACTGATGTCATTTGCATAACAAATAATAATAATGTTGATAAGTCTAACGACACTAAGAAAAGATTAAGTTGTGTGCATGTCACATGGATAGAGACACAAGAAAGCTTGCTGTCCACTGGAAGATTTCTGTATTTAACGGCATGGCCAACAACAAGAAGGACGAGAGAAAGGAAGTGTAAAGAAAGAAAAGAAGGTCTTGATGCTTAATGAAGTGGAGGCTGTTTTTGTTTTGTTTTCAGTAACAAGCACTTAAGGAGAAGGTGTTATTCTTGAGACAGTGGAATAAACGGCGAATGTCTGTATAAAGACCCCTCCCATGGAAACTGACTCTCAAATCACTGGCCCATCTACATACACAGAATTAATCCCAATGGAGTAGGAAAAAAATGACTAAGGGCTTAATAGAGAAATGAAGTCAATTTAAAAAATAATGAGTTCAAGAGTACTGATATTACAGGCTGTTAGGTTAACAAAGTAACTTCAGTTTTTCTGAAGTCAATTAAGGTTGGTAAGTGATGATTTCAGTTTTTCTCCTGAGTTGATGCAACATCCTGAGAGGCAGCCCCTGCTGCCCTGGGAACGTGGAGGGGGCAGAGACGGTCAAGACCGTGGTCATGTGCCATTGGCCCTGGACCCCAGACTCACCTTGCCATATGCTGCCTTGTACTTCTGCTTGATCTGCTGCCTCTCGTCTGAGGTCCTGCTTGATAGGATCTCAATGATGGCAGCTTCATCGGTTCCTAATGCAGGAGAAAGAAGCAAGAGGGAGGGCGATTTTCACTGAGACTGTGTGAGCCAGGACTCACAGCTTCATGGGGGTCCGAGGCATCTGTGGACCCGATGGACCTTAGAGCATTCACACGGTGTGCCTAACACTGCATTTTCTTCATTGGTTTGTGGGCACAAGGCTAGGCACTGGGCTGGAAAGAGGAACCAAGGGGGCCTGTTTCTGAACTTTATTTCCAGTGAAATCGAAACCATGTCCACACAGAGCTTATACATGAATGTTCATTGCAACGTCATTCGTAATAGTCAAAAGATGGAAACAACCCAGCGTCCATCAGCGATCAATGGATACACAAATGTGGGCTAGCTGTCCAGTGGAATGTTATTTGGCCAGAAAAAGGAAGAAAGTGCTGACCTGTGCTACCCACGGATGAGCCCATAAAACCTTGTGCTCGCGAGAGAAGCTGTTCACTGCAGACCACATCTTATAGGATTCTGGTCAAGTGAACATCCAGAATAGGGAATCCACATAGTCAGAAAAGAGATCGGTGGCTGGGTGATGGCTAGACTGCAGGGTTTCTTTCTAAGGTGATGAAAATGTTCTAAAATCGACTGTGCTGATGGTTGCACACATCTGTTAATATACTAAAGCCACCAAGTTGCACAACTGAACTGAGTGAATCGTAAGGTATGTGAATCATATCTCAATAGAAATGTCTTTAAAAACTAAACAAGAAGTAGAACCTACTTCTTGGCCTTTGAGTACTTATAATTGAGTGGATGAGATTAAGACATAGCCCAAATGGCTACAGCATCAATCCCACTCAAACGTTTGTTAATTTCAGGAGCTAGGGTGCATTTGTCCTCTGGAGCAAACCCAGATAGTTTCTTCAGTACCCAGGGAGGAGCAGGACCAGGAGCTAACCCCACAACTCTCCAAAGGAGTGATAATAACCACTTCGGGCGAAGAAGAAAACCTCCATTGGCCTGGACTGGAACTGGCCAGACTTTCACCTTTACCACCACCGTCCATGGCAACCTCCAGATGCAGTGGGGAAGGTGAGTGAGGATAATTCGGAAGTTCTGTGCTCCTGCCTCCAACCCGGAGGACCTACTGAGCTTTGTGGGACTCCATTTCCTCACAGGAAACTGCCTTCCCCACAGCCCACATGGAGTGGTGCAGGAAAAAAGAAAGCCACCATGTCCCAGGAGCTCAACCCTCTTGCAGCTGCTTTCTAGCCAGCCTGGGAGGGGATGGACCTCAAGGGCAAACTCCTTGGCTGCAGACAGTTCCTGGCCCATGGCTGGCTGCACTTTGACATTCAGACGGAAAATTACCTGAAGACAAGGCAGGAAGCTGGGTGGAATTTGCTGTCATAGCAACCACGCTCCCACGTAAATGCTTCTGTGCCCACCCTGCATGGCCGTGTTGCCCCGCCTAAGCCCCACAGGAGTGACCAGGAGTGCATGTGGGTGGGGTGCTTGGAGTTCTGTCCCCCTGCACTCTCCTCAAAGGCTCAGAACAGACAGAGAACTTAGGTGATCCCCAGAGCCCCACCCTCTGCCTAGGCTGGCTGGGCACTTCTTTGGAGCAACACTTACCAAGGAGAAATCCTACGGCCACTATCTCAGCTGGCTCTCTCTCCCAAGTGCCATCTCCTGGCTGGAGGTCCACAGCACAGCCCACCACACCTGATATAATACCTCAGCTTCAGGGAAGGCCTAATCCCAGACCCCAGCTAGCATCACTTTCTAAACCACGTTGGCTACTTAGGATGCTGTGAGCCAGTAGTGCAGGTACTCAGCAAAGCACTGCCACTAACAATTGAGAAGCTCACCATATCAAGGCTATATATAACCAAGAAAATCCTACAGTGTCTACATCAGCCCCCCTGTAACCCTCAAGTGAGAAGTCTACCCAAATGAAAAGGAAGCAGATAAACAATTTTGACAATATGAAAAAACAGAGTTCTCCAGCACCCCCCAAAAGACCACACTAACCCTTCAGCAATGGACCCTAACCAAAATGAAATCTTTGAAATTCCAGACATAAGATTCAAAAGGTTGATTATAAAATTGTTCAATGAGCTTTAGAAGAAAGTTGAAAACCAACATAAAGACATTTAAAAAACTATTCAGGACATGAATGGAAAATTATCCAAAGATGTAGACGTCCTAAAAAGAACAACAAACAACAAAAAACAAAACAAGGTGAAATTCTGGAAATAAAAGAATCATTTAGGGAAGTACAAAATGCAGTGGAAAGCTTAAACTGTAGGCTAGAACAAGTAGAAGAAAAGACCTCAGAACTTGAAGACAAGGCTTTTGAATTAACCCCATCAGACAACAACAGAAAAAAAAAGAATCAAGAGAATAGAACAAAGTATCTAAAAGCATGTGGGATTATGTAAAACATCCAAACCAAAGAATCATAGGCATTCTTGAGGAAGGAGAAAAAGTGACAAATTTGGAAAACCTATTTGAAGGAATAATAGAGGAAATCTTCCCTGGTCTTGCCAGAGATCTAAACATCCAGATACAAAAAGGTCAAAGAACCCCCGGAAAATTCATTGCAAAAATGTTATCCCCAAGGCATATAATCAACTGGTTATGCAAAGTTAATGCAAAGGAAATAATTTTAAGAGCAGTGAGACAAAAGCATCAATGAAGGAGAAATGAGGTCTTTCTCAGACAAGCAGACACTGAGGGAATTTGTCACCACTAGACTGGCTCTACAAGAAATACTTAAAGGAGTTCTAAATATTGAAACAAAGGGTCAAAACACATGAGTATAAAAACACTGGACATAATAAAGCTCACAGGCCTTATGGAATACCAACACAATCAAGAAAATAAATAAATAAAGCAACTAGATAACAGTCAGTATGATGAATGGAATTCACCGTGCAAACCATTATTAATTCTGAACATAAGTTGTCACAACACCTCATGGAAAAGATATAGAATGGCAGAATGAATTAAAAAAAAATCCAAATATCTGCTGCCTTTAAGAGACCCACTTAGCACACAAAGACTCCTATAGACTCAAGGTAAAGGAGTGGGAAAAAAATATTCCATGCAAATGGAAACCAAAAATGAGCAGGAGTAGCCATTCTTATATCAGATAAAACTGACTTTAAATTAACAACAGTAAAACAACAACAAAGATGGCTATTATACAATGATAAAGGGATCAACCAACGATAAGACATAACCCTTGCAAATACACATGCACCTAACACTAGAGCCCCCAGCTTTATAAAACAGATTATATTAGGCCTAAAAAAAACCCAGACAGACAGCAATATAATAATAGTGGGAGACTTCAACACTCCACTGACAGCAATAGATATCAAAGCAGAAAGTCAACAAAGAAACATTGAAATTAAAACAGACCTTAGAGCAAATAGAGCTTAGACATATACAGAACATTCCACCCCAAAACTACAAAATATATACCTTTCTCATCAGCACATGGAACATTCCCTAAGACAGACCATATGACAGGCCACAAATCAAATCTCAATAAATTCAAAAAAATCAAAATACTGTTGAACACCTTCTCAGATCACAGTGGAATAAAACTAGAAATCAACTCCAAGAAGAACCTGAGAAAGCAAACAAAAACATGGAAATTAAACAATTTGCTCCTGAATGATCCTTGGGTCAACAACACAATCAAGACGAAAATTATAAAATTCCTCGAAACAAATGAAAACAATGAAAAAAGCTATCAAAACTTCTGAGACAACAGTCAAAGTTATGCTCAGAAGACAATTTGTAGCACCAAGGCCTACATTAACAAGACTGAAAGATCACATATTAACAGTCTAACGTTACACTTCAAGGAACTAGGAAAAACATGAACAAACAAAACCCAGAGCTAGCAGAAGAAAATAAATAATGAAAATTTGAGCAGAACTAAGTGAAACTGAAATAAAAAATTACAAAGGATCAATGAAACAAAAAGTTGGTTCTTTGAAAGGATAAACAAAATTGATAGACCACCAGCTAGATCAATTAAGAAATGAAGAAAGAAGATTCAAATGAGCTCACTCAGAAATGAAAACAGAGACAACTACAACTGATATGATGGAAACTCAAAAAATCATCTGAGACTATGAGGAAAACCTCTATGCAAACAAACAAGACAGTCTAGAGGAAATGAACAGATTCTTGGAAACATACAACCCACATACAATCCCCCAACCTTGAATCAGGAAGAAATAGACACCCTGAACAGACCAATAATGAGTAGCGAGATTGAAACAGTAATTAAAAGTCTCCCAACAAACAAAAGTCCATTCAGCTGATGGACTCACAGCTGAATTCTACTCGACTTTCAAAGAAGAACTGGTATCTATTTCACTGAAACTATTCCATGAGATTGAAGAGGAGGGAATTTTCCCTAACTCATTCTATGAAGCCAATATCACTCTAATTACCAAAGCCAGGAAAACACATAACAACAACAAAAAAGAAAGCTACAGACCAATATCCCTTATGAACATAGATGCAAAAATCCTCATCAAAATATTAGCAAATCAAATTCAATAGTACATCACAAAAATAATCCACTATGACAAAGCAGGTTTTATTCCAAGGATGCAAGGGAATTTCAACATACGCAAGCCAATAAAATGTGATCCACTACATAAACAGAATTAAAAACAAAAATCATCATTTCAATCCCCATTTTAAATTTATGATTAAAAACTCACAGCAAGATAGGCATGGCAAGAACATTCCTCAAAATAATAAATGCCATATATGCCACACCCACAGCTAATGCCATCCTGAATACATTCCCCCTCAGGACTGGAACAAGGCAAGGATGCTCACTTTCAACCGCTATTATTCAACAGAGTACTGGAAGTCCTAGCCAGAGAAATCAGGCAAGACAAAGAAATAAAGGGTGCCCAAGTTGGAAAAGAAGAAATCAAACTATCTCTATCCCGAGGATATGATCCTATATCTAGAAAATTCTAAAAACCCCTCCAAAAGACTCTTGGACCTGATAAATGAATTCAGTAATGTTTCATGATACAAAATCAACACACACAAATCAGTAGCACTACTACTATACACCAGTAGTGACCAAGCTGAGACTCAAATCAAGAACTCAATTTCATTTACAATAGCAGCCAAAAAACTGAAATACTTAGGAATATATTTCACCAAGGAGGTAAAATAGCTCTACAAGAGGAACTACAAAACACTGATGAAAGAAATTGTAGAGGACACAAACAAATGGAAAACCATGTCATGCTTATGGTTTAGAAGAATCAGCATTGTTAAAATGATCATATTACCCAAAGCAATCTACAGATTTAGCACATTCCCTGTTAAACTATCCATGTCATTTTGCACAAAATTAGAAAAAAAATCCTAAAATTCATACGGAACCAAAAAAGATTCAGAATAGCCACAGCAATCCTAAGCAAAAAGAACAAAGCTGGAGGCATCATTTGACCTAGCTTCAAATTATACTACAAGACTATAGTATGCAAAACAGCATGGTACTGGTACAAGAGCAGACACATAGACAAATGGAACAGAATAAAGTATACAGCAATAAATCCAAATACCTACCACCAGCTGATCTTTGATAAAGCATACACTGGGGGAAGGACACTCTATTCAGCAAATGGTGCTAGGAAAATTGGATAGCTACATGCAGAAACTCGATCCTTATCTCTCCCCATATACAAAAAATAACTCAAGATGGATTAAAGTCTTAAATGTCAGACCTGAAACCATAAAAATCTTACAAGAAAAACTCTTGTGGACATTGACCTAGGCAAAGACTTTATGATAAAAACCCCAAAAGCAAATGCAAGAGAAACAAAAATAAACAAGTAGGACTTAATTAAACTAAAAAGCTTCTGCAAAGCAAAAGAAACATTCAACAGAGCAAACAGGCAACCTACAGGATGGGAGAAGATATTCACAAGCTTCACATCTGACGAGGGACTGATCATATCCATACTCGTGCCCCCACCTGCGCCCCACGCTTTCTGAATCAGAATCTGCGTATCAGAAAGATCCCGGGGATGGGCACTGTGGACCACTAGACAATTCCCATCTCTTGAGAGCCTGTCTCGGCGACACTGCGGGGGAGGACGGCAACGTCCTTTTACCTTTCAGAGGGGATAAGCGGACACTGGAGTGCGTGCACTGTTGGGATTAGGGCATTCTCTCCAGTGGGGCCCTGCTGGGTGACCCAACAAGAGGCAGGCCTGGGCCGAGCCTTGTCATGGGGTGCCTGGAGCTGGGTGAGGCCGCAGAGGGCCCCAGAGCCCTGAGCAGAAGGGCTGACCAGGGTCTTTGTGGTGAGAGAAGTCGGGGGATTGTTCGGGTGCCTGAGACTCAGATTGAGCAGAACTTCGGACACCAGGAAAGTAGGGACGCCAAACCAAGAGGACATCTGCACATCTTGTGTCATTTGGAAAAACACAATAAAATTGTACGTTATGCGTTATTGCTCTGGTTTGCACAGGTGGGTGAGTGGGCAGGGTATGCACAGGCCCTGGTGGCCACCTGGGGCTCTAGTCTGCTCTGTCCAAAACGGGGGGGAGGGCACTGGCTGCATGGGGTGCTGAGCGCTGGAAGTGCGGCTGGTCTAAGCTACGATGCTCTGAGTGAGGGAATGTTCTGAGTCTCAAAACCTTGATGTGAACCCGGGAGGTAAAATGCCACTTTAATCACTTTTATGTTGATCCCATGATGACGTGGTATTTTTGATGGAGTACTGGGTTCGCTGAAATTCACTGTGAAAATAGTGAATTTTACCTGCTTGTTTTTCCTTTAAAATGTGTCTTCTCAAAAATTTAAAATCATCCGTGTGGCTTATGGTTGTGGCTCCCAGATAGCCTTGCCCTGGGCATTTAAGTCCAGCCCCGGCAGGGTTGGCACCTTTGTGAGACAGGGGCACACTCCTGTAGACCGATTTTGTCAAGAGTGCAGTTTTTCTTCAGTTTCTTCTTCTTCTTCTTGCTATTATTGTTATTATTATTATTACTACTACAGTCAGGACCTCACTTTGTGGCCTAGAATGGAGTGCAGCGGCATGATGACAGCTCACCGTAGCTTTCACCTCCTGGGCTCAGGCAATCCTCCTGCCTCAGCCTCCAGAGAAGCTCGGACCACAGGCATGACCACCACGCACAGCTAACTTTTCTTTCTTGTAGAGAGAGGGTCTCACTGGCTTGCCCAGGCTATCGTCCCTGTCTTCTCTCTTTTCCTTCCTCCTTCCCCTCCCTTTTCTCTCTCTCTCTCCGCCCTTCTCTCTCCCCATCTTCTCTTTCTCTTCCTCCCCCTCTCTTGCTCCTCTCCCTCCCTCTCTTCCTCTCTTTCTCTCTCTCTCTGATGTATTTGAGAACGCTTAATATGCAGACATTTCTTCCACCACTTCCATCGTCTCTCCCCCAGCCCCAGTTCCACCAGGACTTCTCACCTCTCTCGACAAGGCAACCATTCTATTTCCATCACAGATCCACTTAGTTTCCTGGAGTCACACACACGGTGTGTGGCTGTGTTTGGTCCACCTGACACCCGGTCCTAGGAAAGTGAGTCTCCACCAGCTCACTTCTAAGCAAAAAAACCTATCCCGTGTTTTCACAAAATGCTATACCAAGGAAAAGAAGCTGGTCACAAAAGGCCACATATTGTACAAGTCTGTTAGCGTGGAATGTCCAGAACAGGCAAATCCCCAGAGGAGAAGTAGATTAGGGATTGCCTGGGGCTGAGGGGAGGAGGGTTGCCCACGGGAGGAGCTCAGGGTTCCTCTCTGGGGTGATGCCAATGTTCTGGAATTAGCTAGCGGCCATGGCTGCGCAACCCTGCGGACGGCGGAAGAGTGAACTTTTGAGGTATGTGAATGGCATCGCAAGCAAAAGGACTATTCACCACCACGTCCTGTGGGCTCAGAGGCCCTCCGCTGCCGGCAGCCCCACAACGTCCTTTCAGGCAGCCCTGCCTCCTCCAGGACCCCGGCTGGAATGTTGCTAAGTCGGTGGCCTCCGGAGTGAGTGGCAGATCTGGGCTCAGTCCCAGGGCTCTCGGCCTCCAGGCTTGGCGACTTTGGGTGTGTGGCTTGACTAGTCAGGCCTTTGCTTCCTCAGCTGCAAGTGGCTTTTTGTGAGAAGAACTGAATAAGATTTTGTATTAAAGCACTTAGCCCGGCGCCTGAAACCTTAAAAGTTTCTCAATCTGTGTAAAAAAGAAGACCCGGGGAATGAACCAGCTGTGTCCCTGGCCCTCTGCTCCCTTCAGCGTCCCCCGTGCAGGTGACTCTGAAACCCTGAACGGCAAACCCGGGTCAGCCTAACGTCTGTTTCTCCTGTCCTACCCGCAAAGCCACCCAGTGGGGGCCGGGGCCAGGGGAAGCTGTGGTCTCCCTGCCCGGCAGCCTCGGTATGGACCGACGGGCTTTCTGGCCAGCTCCCCTTCTCTGCGGTTCAAGGCTTTTCCGAACCACCACCCAGCCCACACTCCACCTCAGGCCGGGCCCTTCAGCAGAGAAGCTCAGCCCCTCACTGGCCGTCGGGCCACCAGGCACAAGTGCCCTCCATGTTTGCCTGACACCCCCCACGAAGGTTTCTCTCCAGCTCCCAGACTGACTCTGTCTCTCTCTCCTGTCCAGAGAGCTCTTCCCATCCGTGCTCAGAACCCCCCTCCCGGGCTCCAGGGCCTGACCTTGTTTCACAAACGGCCTCCCAGGCTCCGAGCCTCCCTTCGTGGCTGTTGACCCAGCTGTCTCTCCCTCGTTCCTCCCTGGTCTGGGCTCGCTTGTTCCTGCCCTCCCAGCAGTACCCCTCTCCTGGCCACACCCCGACCTTGGGCCTGCATCTAAACAGCTTCTCCACATTTGACCCTTGATTCTTGACCTTGGCCGCTGTTTTACACCCGCTCGGTCCCTTCTAGATGCAACTCACAGTCCCCCTAATCCAGCTTCTATCAGACCCGCCTCTCTGCCACCTCCCGGGAGGGCCTCGGAGGAGCTTAACGACACTGGCCTGGCCTCACTAGGATTTGCACAGTGCTCTCTCAGGACGTTTCCCTCAGCCCAAGGTCGAAAGGAACACCTGCTTTGTAGAGTCCTGGAAGGTAACAGGATCTGACCGTAACTTTGGAAACGAATAAAGAGATCCTTAAAGGGCTAGACTGGAGCTGGCTTGGAACACACAAGGCGACATCACCTCGTGGGAATGTTGGGTGTGAGGCTGAGTGAGTGGACTTCAGAAGTCAATCAGCAAACAAAGCGACTTTCGTACCCACTCCTTTGCAGGCTTTCTTCAGCTTTTTGGTATCTCGATCCACATCAAAACCCTGGTGGCTTCTCGCTTTGACCTGGAAACAATGGAAAAAGTCAGATGACAGGACAGGCGTCTTGAATGGCCTCTGGCTACCTGGAGGCCAGGCGGGCATCCCAGCAGGGGACTGTGCAGAAGTCAGTGAGGGAAACTCAGGCCCCTGAGGGGTGGCTGGCTCTCCGTGGGGCCGCTGGCCCTGGATGGCCGTGAGAGGACGGCCCCTCTGTCCCCAGGGACAACAGGCTCGGCCCCCTCTGCGATGGGCGATTTCCACCAGCCTTGCCCTTGTGTGTGTCCCTGAAACCAAGGACAGCACTGCGGGCTGATGTCCTGGCATGCAGACCCTCCCTGCTGACACATGACGCAGCCGTGTCTATGGAGCAGGTCTTGCCAGAGGCTGGGGTTCTGGGCCTCCCTCCAGACTCGTCTGGTGACTTGGTGTTTGCCACCTGCACTGCGAGAGACACTTGTTTAGTTTATCAGAGACACTCTGTGAACCAGCCTGGGCTGGGTTTCTGGTCTCCCCAGCGAACAAGTTCACGTATTGCCCTGAGTGGTTTCCACACTTCAGGCTGCGTGGACACACCTGTCGTCCAAGTTGCCCACATCTATGGTTGTTTGTTGGCTGTTTTTCTTTCAACTGGCCTTTGTTTTAACTTAAATTTATTTTCTTTTTCGAGTCAGGGTCTTGCCCTGTCACCCAGGCCAGAGTGCAGTGGCATGATCACGGCTCACGGCAACCTCAACCTCCCGGGCTCAGGTGACCCTCCCGCCTCAGCCTCCGGAGTAACTGGGACTACAGGCATGCACCACCACTCCCAGCTAATTTTTTGAGTGTTTGTGGAGACAAGGCCTTGCTACGTTGCCCAGGTTGGTCTCAAACCCCTGGGCTCAGGTGGTCCTCTTTCCCTGGCCTCAAGTGTGAGCCACCACCTTCTCTGAGCACTAAAATGAGAACCCAGCACTGCCCACACAGACGGAAGGTGGCCCCAAAGTAAGCATGTCCCTATTGAAAGAGCCACGATGCAGGTGAATCGCAGCCACGCCCACTCCCTGAGCCCCTGTTCTCTGGCTTCCTTCCAGGCCTCTTCCCGCGACATGTGTACACGTGTTTCTCGCCTGCCAGGGAAGGGGTTCGAGCACCACTGCCAGGCCCCCCGACGTGTTGTCCCTCCTCCTTCCCTTTGGCCCCTGGTGGGAGTGGACAGTGCCCCACTTGCGGTGTCAAGGACATGCTGCCTCTACCCCTGCAGTGTTGTTCCCTTTGAGGGTGTCCCCGGCCTCCCATCCCGTGGTCTCACTGGGCCTCCAGTCAGGAGGCTCAAGCCCCATGGCCTGGCTCCAGTCCCTGGTGTGGTCTCTGGCCCTGCCATCCTGGAAACCGGGATTGGCTCTGGAGTGGGTGTGATGTATGCAGAATCAGTCTGAGTCCTCTCCTTGGCTGATTCATAAATGTCGAGAGAGATACGCGTCTCTCCCTTTCTCCTGGGCTTGCTAACCTGAGAAAGCATCAATCTGGGGCTGCCGTGGGCCTTTTATCTGAGAGAAAGGATGGGGAGGTGGCAGAGAGAGAGGGAGAGGGAGAGAGAGGGAAAGGAGGGGGGAGAAAGAGACAGAGACAGGGAGAGAGGGAGAGACGGAGGGGGAAAGGGGGGGAGGAGAGGAGGAGGGAAAGAGAGAGGTGCATCAGCCCCTGGCTCCAGCAGTGCCCTCGTCCCGCCCTGGCCAGCTTCATCCACCAACAGACTTCTTGGTCCGGGTTCTGTGGGTTGGGTGTCCGCCCTTGGGACCTGACATGTCCTGCCAAATACCCGCAGACTGGGGGAGGAATGGCGTCGAGGCTTGGTTAACGGAGAACTGGAGACTCGGGGAGCCCCAGGGATCTTCGGGGTCGCCTGCCCCGCCCCCACGCACGGTCAGGATGGAGGGCCCCCCATCCCGAAGGACTCGAAGCCAGCAGGGAGGCCGACGTGTGGAACGCCTGCCCCATGCCGGCAGCGTAGACCTTCCTTCCTGTCCTCAGGGGCCGTGGGCGTGAAGAGCCTGCCCCCACGGCGGGGAAGCCGGGTGCAGACAGGGTGGGCAGTCAGTCCCAGGCCTGCAGGGGCAGCTGCCCCAGCTCAGTGTGCCTCCCGAGGCCCGCACCCCGCCCGGCGCACCGCCCTGCCGCAACTCCAGGGCCTTCGCAGTCGGCCGGGGGAGACATGCCCCACAACCCCTCTCTTATTTGCATCTTCTGGGGGTACAAGAAAGCTCTCGGGTGTCTGTTTCTTAAAAGTCACAGTCTCACTCTGTTGCCCAGGCTGGAGGGCATAGGCTACTGCGGCCTCGACCTCCTAATCTCAGGCGATCCTTCTGCCTCAGCCTCCCGAGTGGCCGGGACTACAGAATACAGACGCACGCCACCACACCCAGCTAATGTTTTGATTTTTGTGGAGACGAGACCTCACCATGTTGCCCAGGCAGGTCTCGAACCCGTGGACTCAGGCGATCCTCTCGTCTCAGCCTACCAAAGTGCTAAGATTATGGGTGTGAGCTGCTGCGCCTGTCTCTTTGGTGCTCTTGAAGACTTGTGGGGCGCCAGGTAAAATAAAAGCCCAGGGCTCCTTGCTAAAAAAAAATCTCAATATGGCGACATCGAGCATTAGGCTAAGCACAGGCCCTTGTGAGTGGGGCCTAGGGTGGCTGCTTAGGCTGTGCACTGAGGATGCCGTTCTGTCTTTTTTTTTTTTTTTGAGTTGGAGTCTCATTCTGTCGCCCAGGCTGGAGTGCAGTGGCACACATGCTCATGACCACCCAGTATCTACCTGCTGGGCTCCAACGATCCTTCTGCCTCAGCCCTCCAAGTAGCCAGAACTATAGGTACGTGCACCTGTGCCTGGCTAATTTTTTATTTTTTGCTGTAGAGACAGGGTCTTGCCACATTGCCCGGGCTGGTCTTGAACCAGTGGACTCAGGCAATCCACTTGCCTTGGCCTCCCAAAGTGCTGGGATGACAGACTGAGCCACTGAGCCCGGCCTGCCACCCTGCCTTTTAATCAGATTCCAAAGGGGAGAGTTCTCTGGGTGTGGAAGCAGCAACCTCCGAGTCCATGGCGTGTTTGCGTTCTGTCCAAGCGGTACGGGGGCTCGGGCGGTGAGGTGGCACTGAGCCAGGGCGGCAGGACTCACCAGGAACAGGCTAGTCCATAAGCTGGTCTACGTGTCACTTCCGCCCCCTCGGTGCAGGGGATTCGGTGGGACACGTGTGATCTGTCCTGTTCCGCAATGAAGGCACGCACACTGAGACACAGGGCTCTGTGAGCGGCCGTGCGGGGCGTACCTGGCCCCAGGCTCTGGCTGCAGCGCCGCTCGGATTCCAGCTGGGGACGCCCGCCAAGCCCAGCGCTGGCAGGACTGCACTGCCCAGAGGGCCCCCTTTTCCTCGTTTGCCTGCGGAAGCGGCGAGGACTTGCAGGGCCGTGTGGAGACGTGTAGGTGATCCCCGGCCAGGCAGCAGCTGGGTGGGAGCCAGGGCCGGAGCTGGTGGATCTCAAGGGACATTCCTGCTCCTCACGCCCTGCCTATGCCAGTAAGGTTGCTCCGTGATGCCAATGTGGTGGAGTGATGGGAGCTGGGGATGGCTGGAAGAATCCTCTGATGGTGTCCAAGACCAAAAGCAAGTGTCGTTTGATCCCAAGGAACTCCGATGTCCGGGGCTACCGCGGGAGAGGGCCGGCCACGTGTCAGGAAGGGAGGTGACACTGGGACTTTAGCAAAGAGCGTGGGGTGAGAGTCTGCATGGGGGGGCGCCATTGTCAGCTGGCAGGTTGACGTCCAGCCCCTGTTCCTTGTGGGAGCCACCGGGAGCCACACTGGTGATCTAATCCACTCGCGAGGAAGATGCCGCCTGTTCCTCGGAACAGCAGGATACCTGAGGCCGGAGTGAAAGAACCACGAGATGTGATGTCGAAAGAGAGAAAGAACACGATCAGCCAGCGTCTTCCCCTCTGCGTGGCCGGGGCGGACTCCTCAGGCTTCATCAGTGCCACGCAGCGTCAAGGAAAGGGCGTCCCGGGACCTGCTCCTGTGCCCTGGGTCCCAAACCTCTTCTCAGGAGAGACAGAGCTGACCTCACGTTGTTCACTGTTGGCACTGCAGACAGCTGACCAGGCGGCGGCCTTAGGCCTGTCTGCCAAGCAGGAGACTTCGTCTTTGGAACCCGGAGCCACTGAGAAGAACTCCTGCCTAAAAGTGGGGATGACAGTCAGGTACCGATGGGTATGCAGGCGACCCCTGGACAGTCAGACACATCAGTGTGGTGTCAGGTGGACGTGGACATACCCCCACTCTCAACAACAGGCACGACAGGGACACAGCAGCATTCCTTGACTTGTTTCCTTCTTTTTAAATTAAATTAAATTAAATTTATATTTTTGAGTCCAGTCTCACTCTGGCACCCAGACTGGAGCGCAGTGGCATGATCACAGCCCACTGCCGCCTTTACCTGCTGGGTTTGGGCCATCCTTCTGTCTCAGCCTCCCTACTACAGGCATGTGCCACCATACCTGGCTAATTTTTAAAATTTGTTGTATAGACAAGGTCTTGCTAAACGCCTGGGCTCAAGCAATCCTCCTGTCTTGACCTCCTGGAGTGCTGGGATTCTGTGAGCCACCACACCCACTCTTGATTTTTTGTTTTTTAGCAGTGCTTGCACCGATGCTCAGGAGACATATAAAGACAGAGCAAGATACTAAACGTCCACGAGAACGATTCTAGAAGTCTGGGCTCCGCGCCCACAGGAACCCTGCCTTGAACGTGGCTCTGCTTCTCAGCAGCCGTGTGAAATTCGGCTGGGAGCCTCTGAGCCCTGGTCTCCTCATCTGCGAAATGGGGCAGTCTCTACCTTGCCAGGCTTGGGGCTTACAGGAGGTAACTTTTCAAGGCCCAGATCTAGAAGGAGGCACGTACGTCTCAGTCCTTCCCCTGCTTCTTTGGGCCTTTTTTCGGTGGTGATACTTGTAAGACTTCACAAAGTGATATTTAGGCAGATTCTAA